AAGGGGCAGGAAGTGGGAGGGAGTGGAAGGGGCAGGGGCGTGGCTAGGACAGGACGGGGCGGGGCTAGGACAGGGGCGGGGCTAGGGCGGGGCTCCTCCCGTCCTCTTTTTTGATTGTTGAAATATGGTAACCCTACCCAGGAGGACCTGAATTTCCCCTACCCTTTGAGCTGATGTATAGCAACTAAAAAGGCAGTTTTAATAGATAAATGGTGTGAAGAGCAAGCTGCTCAGGGCTCAAAAGGGGTCCCCATTAAACCAACTAAAATGATACTGATGTTCCAGGAAGGAGGAAGCTCCCAGACTGGGGGAAACATGAAGAATCTAGCAACAGTAGGGTGGGAAACAGTAGGGTGTGACCCTGAATGAGAGGATGATGAGCTGATTTTGCTGTAAATTGTACCCTTATGCAGCTGATGGATAGCCCTGAATGCTTTAGGGATAGCAGATAGTCCTGAACCATAGGAATCAAGACTCCTAAGGGAGTCAGGTGGAGTTCTGCTGTCCAAATAGGGAACACCTCTTCCATTTAGTTCACAAGTCGCCTATCAAGTCTTTTCTGCTATGCCCAAGGCCCTTCATTTTCGGTATTTACCATTTTTACCAAAAATTTCCCAGGTTTTACAAAAGTTATTAAGTTTTTACCAATTTTCACACTAATTTTGAACCACACAAGTACATGAGAATACTGATTATGTTAAAAAAAAACAATATATTATATTATGTAGATGTGTTTATGTTACTAATACATTAGTCTAAATGTAAATGTGAGACTATTAAAGTAAGGCAATGTAGTGGAAGGTACACATGCACATGTGTGTGTGGGTATTTCTAGGTTGACCAGATAGCAAGTGTGAAAAATCAGGATGGGGCGTCAATGGGAGTGGGGGGTAATAGATTGCCTCTATAAGACAAAACCCCAGTATTTGGACAGTCCCGATAATATCGGGACATCTGGTTACCCTATGGATGTCAGTGCTCGACTCCTAAAAAAAGGAAATGCTGGAACTCCCCAGACCCTGCTCCAAAAGGAAAGATGGCAGATAGGTAACCTGGGCAGACCCCAAGGCAATCCCCTGGACCTGACACCCAGTTCTGAAGTTACCGAGCTGTCATCTCTTTCCAGAATGGGGAGCTGGGTCAGAAGTATTCTTATATTTTTCTCTATTTATTTTGTTTTTTTCTGTCCTCCCATTCCCCCAATATTAACCCTGATATTTACATCCAGAAAACCGTTGAAATTAATTTTTTACACTAATTTTCACCTGTTCTTTAGTTTTTGTAATAAAGATCAATACATTCCCTGAAAATGAGGGCCTTGGCTATGCAGCAATATGTTCTGGACTTCAGCTGAACAGCTTCTTCCGATGGTAGTTAACCAGACAGCATCCACACTATCAAATGCAATGATGCTGGGTTCAGATGTAAGATCTGACCTCTGTTATGGGAGCTCACATCAGGCAGGACAGTTAGTGTTACTGGGGACTGACAGACTCATTATGTCAAAATACCAAAGTTGCCTGTAGGCCAAATTAGGCCTAGTATGATCATTAATGCTGTACATGTACATTATCACCAGAGTCCATGAGATAAAGAAAGCCTGCGCTGTAAACCCCACTTGAACAGAATGTTTGGCATTTCCTGTTCCATCTGAAGTAAACAGGTTCTGGCAACCTTAAATTTGGCATTTCCTTATTTATGAGTGCTTGACTTTGCAACCTAAATAACATTCTTTTAACATGTTTTTTTATGTAATATAATAAGATAATTACTACTTCAGCACTGCAAACTCCACTTGGGATCTCAGAATTCGATCAGCAGTGCTTAACAATAGAGAAAACTTTTTTTTCCAGAAAAGTAAGAATATATATTTCAAAGACATCCATAGAGTATTCCTACCCTTGAGCAGAAAGGTGCCATTTTTATCATATATTTTTTCTCACCCTAACCACATTTAAATTCACAAAAGAAATCAAAAAGTGAATGAGGTTGGTTTATCTTATGTTATATTCTATTTATAGGGGAAGTGAGCAGGGAAAATAAAAATAACTTGCCTCATCCTGAATCAAGTTTTCCTTACCTGCATTAATTAACAACTTCAGACATTCACTGGAGTTGTGAAATGCTGCTTCGTGGATTGGCATCCACCCTCTGTTATCAGGAACATCAACGCTGTATCCCTGTTTAATTAGTTTCCTCAAACTTTTGACATTTCCTTCTCTAGCTGCAAGTCCAACACTGGAGCATCTGTCTGAATAGGCCTCTGTGAAATCCATCCTTCCTCAGCTCACTCTGAGAATAGAGGGCAAAAAAGTTACTATTAGTCCAGCAAGTCTGTAATTACAACAGACAACATATTCTTAAAATCTGAGCCAAGATTGTCAGGTCTGCCCAGTTTAATTCATCTAATGGGAACTCCCTTTTTGGGTTAATTTTAGGCAGTATTTACACTATTGCCATCCTGGGAGGTAAAATTTTGCTTTGTGTTTCAGTAACATTTAAAGTCTTTCTTCAAATTGTTTTGAAACTGGTTTATCTTGACACTATCCCTGGATAATACATACTTTGCACTTATCCTTGAATGAAAGATACCATTTCTCAAATGCTTTACAAATTACTAATTTTTGAACACTCAAGACATACTTCATATTAACAAGTAAAGACACAATCCTTGGGCCAAAAGAATATACAAACCTTTGGCCTGATCCTGCAATTGGAGGTGCATAGACCATTCCACCCATGTAGCATCTTACAGATTTCAGTCAGGCTCTGCATGAATCTGATTGCAGATATACAGACATAAAACAGGTGATACAGGGAAAATAGGTGAGGGTAAGGCAGGATGGTTAAGTGGCTAGGGTGCTAGCCTAAGACTTCAAAAATCCAGATTCAATTCCCTACTCTACCACAGACCTCCCATGTGACCTAGGACAAATCATTTAGGGCTTGTCTTCACTGCCGGCTAAATCCAGCTTCTGTAATCAATGCAGCAGGCATTGATTTAGGCTGTCTGGTGAAGACACATTAAGTCAATGAGAGAGTGCTCTCCCATAGACTTCAGTACTCCACCTTCCCAAGAGGCAGAAGCTATATCGATGGGAGAGCATCATGTAGACACCTCTGTAAATTGATCTAAGCTATGTTGACTTAAGTTACATAGCATAACTTAGATCGACTTATCTCGTTAGTGTAGACCAGGCCTTAGTCTCAGTGCACTGTTGTACTTTGCTGCCTCAGAGGGGTATTGTGAGGATGAATACATTATAGACTGTGAGATGTTCATGCCCAGATTTTTAAAAGGTAGTTAAGGAATGCTCTGCTCATCATTGCAAAGCTTAAAGTGATTGAAGCTATGTCTTCCCTACCGTGGTAAATCATAGAATCATAGAATATTAGGGTTGGAAGAAACCTCAGGAGGTCATCTAGTCCAATCCCCTGCTCAAAGCAGGACCAACACCAACTAAAACATCCCAGCTAGGGTTTTGTCAAGCTGGGCCTTAAAAACCTCTAAGGATGGAGATTCCACCACCTCCCTAGGTAACCCATTCCACTGCTTCATCACCCTCCTAGTGAAATAGTGTTTCCTGATATCCAATCTAGACCTCCCCCACAGAAACTTGAGACCATTGCTTCTGGTTCTGTCATCTGCCACCACTGAGAATAGCCTAGCTACATCCTCTTTGGAACCCCCCTTCAGATAGTTGAAGGCTGCTATCAAATCCCCCCTCACTCTTCTCTTCTGCAGACTAAACAAGCCCAGTTCCCTCAGCCTCTCCTCGTAAATCACATGCCCCAGACCCCTAATCATTTTCGTTGCCCTCCACTGGACTCTCTCCAATTTGTCCACATCCCTTCTGTAGTGGGGGGACCAAAACTGGACACAATAATCCAGGTGTGGCCTCACCACTGCCAAATAGAGGGGAATAATCACTTCCCTCGATCTGAGGCAATGCTCCTACTAATACAGCCCAATATGCCACTGGCCTTCTTGGCAACAAGGGCACACTGATGACTCATATCCAACTTCTCATCCACTGTAATCCCCAGGTCCTTTTCTGCAGAACTGCTGTTTAGCCAGTCAGTCCCCAGCCTGTAGCGGTGCATGAGATTCTTCCTTCCTAAGTGCAGGACTCTGCACTTGTCCTTGTTGAACCTCATCAGATTTCTGTTGGCCTAATCCTCCAATTTGTCTAGGTCACTCTGGACCCTACCCCTCCAGCGTATCTACCTCTCCCCCAGCTTAGTGTCATCTGCAAACTTGCTGAGGGTGCAATTCATCCCATCATCCAGATCATTAATAAAGATGTTGAACAAAACCAGTCCCAGGACCGACACCTGGGGCACTCCGCTTGATACCAGCTGCCAACTAGACATCAAGCCGTTGATCACTACCTGTTGAGCCCGACAATGTAGCCAGCTTTCTATCCACCTTATAGTCCATTCATCCAATCCATACCTTTTTAACTTGCTGGCAAGAATACTGTGGGAGACCGTATCAAAAGCTTTGCTAAAGTCAAGATATATCATGTCCTCCGCTTTCCCCATATCCACAGAGCTAGTTATCGCATCATAGAAGACAATCAGGTTGGTCAGGCATGACTTGCCCTTGGTGAATCCATGTTGACTGTTACGGATATCCTTCCTCTTCTCCAAGTGCTTCAAAATGGATTCCTGGAGGACCTGCTCCATGATTTTGCTGGGGACTGAAGTGAGGCTGATTGATCTGTAGTTCCCTGGGTTCTCTTTCTTACCTTTTTTAAATATGGGCACTATATTTGCCTTTTTCCAATCGTCCGGGACCTCCCCCAACTGCCACGAATTTTCAGAGATAATGGTCAATGGCTCTGCAATCACATCAGCCAACTCCCTATGTGAATAACGTAGCAGGAGTCAATGTAGCTTAGGTCGCCTTACCGCGGGGTTCACGCAATGCTGGGTCGACGGGACACACTCCCAGTCGACGTACCTTATTCTTCTTGTTTGGGGTAGAGTAGCGGGGTCGACTTCACTAGACCCGCTAAATCGACCCCAGTGCATCAATCCCCGGAGTGTCGATTCGGGGGCCAGTAGTGTAGACATAGCCTTAGACAGCTAAGTCCTATTTCAAAAAGTGACTTAGTCATGGAGACTTAGCTGTCTACATCATTTAGGTCTTGCAATGCTGAGCAGAGCAATGCCTTAAATAACTTTATATTATTAGAGTAATGAGGGCAAAATATATACCTCAGATAGACAGGGGTTACAATAATAAGAACATGAGGTTACTCAGGTAAGATATTTGCACAACTTGATTCCATTACATCAGATTGCTTGTTTGTCAGTTATATTATAACTTTCTTCTTGTTTGCAACTTGACAAGAGTGAGATTTTTAATAGTGATATGGAAAAAACAGTTACTTACCTTCCGTAACTGTTGTTCTTCGAGATGTGTTGCTCATGTCCATTCCAAGTAGGTGTGTGCGCACCATGTGTACAGTCATCGGAAGGTTTTTCCCCTAGTGGTACCAGTCGGGTCGGCTGTGGAGCCCCCTGGAGTGGCACCCTTATGGCAGTGTATATAGGTCCCTGCCAACCTGCCATCTTTTCAGTTCCTTCTTGCCGGATACTCCAACAGAGGGGAGGTGGGTGGGTCTTGGAATGGACATGAGCAACATATCTCGAAGTACAACAGTTACAAAAGGTAGGTAACTGTTTTTTCTTCTTCGAGTGATTGCTCATGTCAATTCCAAATAGCTGACTCCCTAGCAGTCCCCCAGAAGAGAGGTCAGAGTTCACAGAGTTGCAAACTGTACCACGGCTCTACCAAACGCAACATCATCTTTAGCCTGCTGTGTGATTGCATAGTGCAACATAAAGGTGTGGATACACTACCATGTTGCTGCACTGCAGATGTCCTGAATTGGGACTTATGCCAGAAATGCTGCAGATGAAGCATACACTCTTGTGGAGTGTGCTGCCAATGCTTGGGCTGGAATCTTTGCTAGGTCATAGCATGTTCTGATACAGGCCATGATCCAAGAGGAGACTCTCCTGAATGAAACAGGGAGACCCTTCATTCTTTCGGCAATAGCGATGAAGAGCTACATCGACTTCCTAAACGGCTTTGTTCGATCAATGTAAAAGGCTGTCTGGCATCCAGGAAATGAAATATGCGTTCCCTGTCATTGGCGTGTGGCTTAGGGTAGAACACTGGCAGAAAGATGTCCTGATTCACGTGAAATTGCAAAACTACCTTGGGAGGAAAGCTGGGTGCAGCCGCAATTGTACCTTGTTCTTATAAAACATGGAATAAGGGGGCTCGGCCATCAGACGCCCTCCTCGCTGATGTTATAGCCATTAGGAACGCCACTTTCCAAGAAAGGTAGAGCAGAGAGCATGAAAAGGTGGGAGTTGTCTTACCAACTCTGAGAGGCCAATTAAGTAAGACAACTCCCACCTTTTCATGCTCTCTATATGTGTATATATATCTCCTCAATATATGTTCCATTCTATGCATCCGAAAAAATGGGCTGTAGCCCACGAAAGCTTACGCTCAAATACATTTGTTAGTCTCTAAGGTGCCACAAGTACTCCTGTTCTTTTAGTCTATGAACTAACTACTTAAAATACTAGAAAAACTATACTAAGTAGAACTATATACAATACAAGAATAAACATTCGCTATGAAAAGCAAAGCAAGAGAACGAAGTAGCTCCAACGACAGTCACTGGCGTTAAGGAACTGAAGAAGCGGCAGGTCGGCAGGAACCTACATACGCTGCCATAATGGCGCCACTCCAGAGGGCTCCACAGTTGACCCAACAGGTACCACTAGTGGAAAAACCTTCCATCGATCGTGCAGGCGGCGCGTACACATCTACTTGGAATTGACATGAGCAATCATTTGAAGAAAAGGAGGTGACTTGGAAAATAAATTTTGAGAAGAGGTTTAAAGGGAACATGGAAGAATGCACAGAAGGGGGCATGACAGAAAAAAAAATACAAGGTTGCTGAAGCTGACATCACTAGGGTACATTGATTGCTTAAGTCTTGCAACACCAATTTGAGGTATTATATCCATTTTCATCACCCCCAGAGCTCAGACTTCATTAAAAGAATGAGTACATCTCCATGGTGCAGTTGATCACTGTGGCAGGTTCACCAATATTAACGTGGGATGGTATGGAAAGGTCCATGACACTAGAATCTTTCAAAAATCACACTTATTTTATTTAAGGAAAAAGTTGCTGCAGGATCTCTATGGACCTTAACAGTATTCTGATTCCCTCCATCATTCTTGGAGACTCATCTTAT